GTGCTTTACCTGTCATATAGTCACTGTGTGAGACTTGTTGCATGAAAATTCGAACTTTTGTTTACATATTTTTCGTGTTGCATTGATTTTCCTGTTAGAACACCTGGACTTGACCCATTCGAACATTCCCTTGATCTAAGATCATGAATCTTACGAAACCCTGGGAATCTAGAACGGTGTATATTGCGGCCGTAGGATAACTTTGTGTGACCTATCTGTGCTTTTGGTTGTTCTAGTTTTTTTAAAATATCTTCACGCTTTGAAGTTGAAATTTTTAATGGGAAAGAGGATTTTTCAATTTGGCAACAAAAGATAAAGGGTATTTTGGTCAAACAAAAAGTTTCAAAGGCCATAAATGACAAATTTCCTGTAAATTTAACAGAAGTACAAAAAGAAGAGTATGATGAACTTGCATACACTTCAATTATTTTACACCTGTCTGATACTGTTTTGAGAAAAGTAGGAAAACTGGATTCTACAAAACAACTTTGGGAAAAGTTGGAGGACTTATATTTGCTTAAGTCAACTCCTAATAAATTATACTTGCTTGAACGATTTTTCAACTTTAAAATGGATTCTTCAAAAGATCTTAATGATAATCTGGATGTCTTTAACAAATTAGTTCAAGACATCGTTAACTGTGATGAAGAGGTATCTGAAACGTATAAGACTATTATCCTGCTTAATTCCATGCCTGATTCATATAGGGAAGTTAAGAATACAATTAAGTATGGTAGGGATACCTTAACACCCGAGATTGTCATAGACTCACTTAGGAGTAAGGAGATGGAGATTAAGGCTGAAACAGAGGATAAGAGGAGTGGCGAGTTACATATGATGAGGAGTAGGATGAAGTTTAAGCAAATGAATTTGGGTAGAACTCAAGACGGTAGTGATTCGAGTAGTGACTCGAGTGATGAGGGTAGTAAGAAGAATGGCAAGGAACGAGATAAGTCTAGTGGTAAAAGGTGTTACAGTTATGGTAAGTCTGGACACTTTATTAGGGACCGTCCCAAGAAGAAAGATAAGCTGAAGGGTAAGATGAGAGGTGAAACGAATTTGGTTGAGGGGTCGAGTTATGACCCTAGTGAGGTTTATTAAGTGTAAACCTAGTTACTGCATATGCATCTGTGTGTGATCCTTTCTGCATGTGTGTGATTGTCTAAATTTTGTTGCATGATTATCTGCTACATTTCAATGTGTTTGATAAGTGCATCTGCATGAATTTGAGACGTTATGATTACTTGGTGTAATTGCTAACATGCATAGTGGGTTAAGATGCATTAGCAGTGTGTTGTGTGTCTTTTGGTGAGGTGGAGTATAGATGCCTAGGGGTACATGGTGGTTTGTACCGGGGATATGAAGTGTGACATTTGGATCACGAGTGGAGATGTGATCAAATGTCTAGGATCCTTTATCTAGAAAGAGACCCTGATCAGGTAGAGTGTGAGAGAGACACTTCTATCACTTCTGTTAGGTGGAGACCCACTATCCACACAGGTTGGGAGAAGTGATGTGGAGATAAAGGATTATCCCGTGGACTTATGATCTATTGTGACTTGCCAATTAGACATGAGTTGAGTGATCTGTCTAGTGAGCGTGGTGGGCGATGAGAGGAGATATGTGTTCTCGAGGTGTGAGCAACACGGAATGGGATAGGATAAGTGTGGTGAGATCTTTTCTTAGGGTCATTTATGCATGTGTTGCATATGTGGTTGACCGTGGTTTGATTGACTTGGTGTTAATCTATGGTTTCATGTAAACATATTTCTGAAAAGATCTGTGTGTGTTATCCTATAGTATATCGTCATCGCATGTGTATTTGCTCTTGATTGTTTACTGTTAAATATTTCCTTCTACTTGGGTGTTTTTGACCTTTGCCCCAGTGAGTACATGGAGTAGGTATGGTATGTGTTTCAAGTTGGAAACACGAGGTAAGGTCTGTGATCCAATTTTATTGGCTACCTTGATTATGCAAGTGTTAACTGTGTGTTTTGATTGCTTGCAAATTTATTGGGCATCAAGGTGGAGATTTGTTGGGTTTTTGATACCCAATAAATCCCGGGCTATGATGTTAACGTGGGTTAATATTATTTCATAGGCATAGGCCGATGAATGAAATAAGTCCAACAACCAAGTCCATGAGCTACACCCGGCCCAATTGTATTTCTTATGGATGGTTTGAATCTTAGCCCGTTTACCCCTTTAATGGCCCAACTTAAAGCCTAACCCTAGAGTATATATATGAATATAACCCTAGCCTCTTTGATATGATGTTTTGTGTGATTTTGAGAGAAGAACTAGTGAATCCCGGTTGCCCCCCTTTTGTGTGAGAAAAAGTTGTCCAGAAGTGTCCAGAACGCTGGTATAACGTGTGCAATTGGTGACTCTTTCATAGTATACCTTTGTGGTGTCTTCTCCTAGCCTTTGTGGGCATAAATCATCATCCCTTCTTGTCCTACGTGGATAAGATTGTATAGCAACGAAAGTGAATCAATTGGTTGTGGTTTGGAGCCGTTTGGATTGGTTGTTGGTAGAGAAAGGTACGTTGGACTGAGCCTGAAAAATCACCGTTTGAAGATTCTTTTGAGAGAGCTTCCGCAACACAACACAACTCCATTACACATTTTTTTGACTATCAAGCCCAAGTAGGATGGCAACCTACTCTCACGCAGGTGTAGGATTATTCCGTTCAATCCATAAAATCCCACCTGCTCGAAGCTCAGCTCCTCACAATCTTGGTCAATACCCACCAAAATCCGCCGTGTTATCATCTATAAAAACCAAAACGCCTGCCACTACCAAAACACTTACAATGACCATTGGCTGCCACCAACCACCAAAACGCCTCCGCCTACTAGGGTCCACTTCTGAAATGTGACAACGGGTAGATTCAGATCATCAATAATTGACACCATGGGTGGATTCAGGGACGGACAGGCCAGTGCTACAGCCCATCCGTCCGCCCCAAATCCCCTTTTAAAAAAAATAGTAAAAATTTGTTTTTATGTGTAATTCTATTAGCCTGTGTTCATACCGGAAGCTGGATCTGTCTCTGACCGACACCACGAGGGATACTTCTCGATTGGAGAGTTTTCTTGTTCCTTCTCCAGCCTAACGAGGCATGCAATTCTGGCTTTTGAATGGGAGTGAAGAAGATGATTTTGGTGGTTTTTAATTTTGGGTGGGTACGTGGGTGGTGGGGTGTGAGTGGAGAAGATGAATATTTTTTCCTTTTTATTTTGAAGGGAAAATGTGAAATGTCTATTGTCATCGTCTTACTTGGAGAAAATTATTAGGATTTTCATTTTGGGGTCAACTAGTTGTTTTGGTGGTTAAATAGATGGAAATCGCCAATTTGGATTGGACCTACGATTTTTTGAAAGGTTTGGTAGCTAAGGTAGTACAAATGAGAGGTTTGAGTCAAGTCTGCAACAAAATGATACCTTGACTGTAATTCTCCTGTAATAAATTATATTTAGGGGTCCAAGTTTTTACCTATAGGTTGCATATATTTTATTTAATTCTTGCCTTCAATACATCTCTACGCGCGTTAATTTATTTGTATATCACATCAGAAGTTTTGACACTTAAATGGATTTTATAGATTGATAACTATGAGACTTACAAATTGAGGACATGTTCGGTAGTGATTTTAAGAATCAATTTTTTTATCGTTAGAAAGAAAAATAGGTCCCATATGTGAGTGAATAAGTAAAATATGATGGCTGAGTTAGGAAAGTAACGTTCAAAAAAATTAATTTTTTAGGGTAAAAAATTAATTGTTTAGGGTGAAAAATCAGAACCAAACGGGGCTGAATATTTTGTTTCACTATGATATCATATTAATTCTTTCGTCAAAAGAAGTTTAAATTATCAACTACTAATCACATATTTTTTAATTCTGGCAATCACCATAATTCATCAACAGTTAAGAAACAAGTTTAGAATAGAATTATCCTAAGATGCTGAATGATTTGAAGTCACCAAGTTGAAGTAAACATATCATCGAGTTTTAAAATAATTAAATAACTAAAGAAGTACATGGAATTCGATTAAATACCTCCAAATGTTACAACACACGTCGTATTATTTAGCACCTCATAGATTCGTCTATTTGTTTATTGTTTGTCGTGACGTGCATCAAAGAATTCTTCAAAAAAAGCTCCTTGATATTTTACGATAAGTATTGAATTGGGTTTTAGGATAAACATACTAAAAAATGGGGCAACTTAAAAAATACCCTTAAAATTAGAAGTATTTTGAAAACTCATATAAAAAGTCTTTTCAAAGTAAAAAATACTGTGTAAAATTAAAAAGTGACGCAATGCCACTTTTTTTATAAAAAGTGTGTCACTTATTTTTTATAAAAAAGTGACGTAATGTCACTTCTAAAAGTTTAGTATCACTTTTTTATTAAAAAAATCACATACAATGTGACTTTTATTAAAAAAATGATATTTGCTACTAAAATAAATGATAGAAATTAATAACGTGACTAAAAAAAGGTGACAAACACTAAAAAGAATGTGACTAAAAAAGTGACAAACATTAAAAAAAATGACAAAAATTCAAAAAAAGTGACAGAAATTCAAAAAAGTGACGAATTCAAAAAGTAACACAAATTGAAAAAGTTACACAAATTAAAAAAAGTGAAAAACACTAAAAAAAACAAAATTAAAAAAAATTGACAACTCAAAAAGTGACACATTCAAAAAAAAAAGTTGCAGAAAAAAACGACATATCATAATCCACAGTTTTCAATATAGCCAAATTATCAATAAATTGACACAAAATTTTTCAATATAATGACACAAATTCAATATACGACGAACATTGGTAGTTAAATCATAAGCACATCAATTACAAGAAGAACACAAGAATTTACAAGTTGGAAGTGATGAAAATTCAAAATAGTGTCAAATAGTAAAAAAAAGTGACAAAAAATCCAAAACCCGACATCTTAAACTTCAATGAACAATTGGAGACATTGACATAAGTTCCTATCCAACATAAAAACCAAGTTCTTATTCAAAATGCATAACATATATATACATTACCAACACATGCAATCTTTGTTGAGAAGGATAAAGATCATCCTGCATTGGTGTTATTGAGTTCAATTATCCCAATGAAAAGAGTAAAGTTCGATTCAAATATTACAGCTTTAAAAGGAATTAAAGGTTATAATGTGTAAAGTTGTGTCACTAGCCCTTGATGCTTGTTTGGTTACTATAATAATCGTTGCTACTTCAAGCAACTGTGTTCAACTGCTCCTGCAATAATAATAAAAATTAAGAGTGAAATCGATAATACCAGCCCAAATAAAATGAAGACTAGAAAACACTTTTGCATGCCTCTACGTGAACAATCTCTTGGACACCACAAAAGCATCCAGTGTTGAAACTCTTGGGTTTAGTTGTACCTACAAGCATCAAAATTGGATCTCTAAGACAATTTGTTATTCAACTTAAAACTGAAGCAATTGAAAAGAGCAGGCAACCAAAATAAAAAATAATAAAAAAAATTGAACTGCTCTGCAATATGATTGTAGATACAGATTATTTGAAACACTATTGATTTAAAACTGATGAGGAAATGGAATTTTGCAAGAATTTTCGAAAAAAAAGGACCAAAAAAATTCTCCATTACTGTTGAGAAGAATAACAAATATGATTCTTACACAAAAAATTGGTCAATTTTTATAGAGAAATCATTTTTCTTGAGCTCATAGATCTCAACCTTTTCCCCTACGTCGTTGACTAAAGTTCCAGATTATAAAACGAGGAAACAAAAATATATAGAAACCTTCATTTCTCAAACTTTAGCATGTACCCAAAAATCAACGAATTCCAAACAATCAAGTTCCTCAAACTCATCCGATCAAAAATCCCTAGTGTCGATATCGCCCTTCTTAAAATACCCATATATCATCACTAACCAAACATAAAAATTCCACTGCGTCATTTTCTCAAACATTTCCCACGCAGAGAATCAAAGTTATATCTGATACATATCTAGCAATTCACAAAATTGGTAAAGTTGCTTCTTGTTGGAACCACGAGGTCGCATCTGCGCTCTTCGAGTTGGCGAAGCCGATCTGCCCAGAGGTGATTGTGGTTGGCTGGTTGCGAAGGAGCTGTGACGAATGGTGGTGTTGCCATAAACTTGTAAGAAAGCCCCATTGGTCGACGGAGGTGAAGAGATGCACCCATATATGCTCGGTAGGCTGCTGGCCCAAATACAGTGGTGGCGCCATCCTTGACATCATCATGTTTTTGCTCTTTTTAGTCTATTACGGTAATGAAAATGGGAAAAGGTTGAAGAAACGCCACCATGTTTCTCTCTTTATGTTTTGAGGTTTGAGTCCTTTGGACGTATTAATTACGTTTCAAATTGTTTAATTAGTTTTAAATGGTATTATTCAATTTTGTAACTTTTGGACCATATTTGGCCTAATTTCCTCTTAAAAAATTATTTTATATTTCTTCCCCCC